AACTTTCTATTGTGAACTGATTAAAGGTTTACAAAATAGATATCAGTTTTACATTCAGCAAATCATATACTTCATGTCATTTCTGTGATTGTAATCTCTTCTATGGAATATCAATTATTCCACTTCTTCCCTGTGATTCTCATTTCCATTTCTCCTTCTTTCTACTACCCTTCCGAATTTTGTCCTTACATAAATGCTACCCTTTTGATCTCGAATGGTTGACCATTCTATGGTGTGTGTACCTCACTAGTGCTGTTGTCCCCCCTGTGTATCCACCTATTTGTTGTTGTTGTTAAGTGCCATCGAGTCGGTTCTGACCCATAGCGACCCTGTATAGGGTTTCCAAGGAGCAGCTGGTGAGCTTGAACCATCGACCTTGCAGTTCAAATGGCTTTGCAGTCTGACACACTAACCCACAGCGCCACACCAGGACTCCATCTACCTATCACTTGGTTGAAAATTGAACCACAGGGGTAACTGACTGACGTCCAGACTTAAAGGGTGACCAAGGCCTATAGTCTTAGAGTTCCACCAGTCTCTGACTGACCAGTAGAACTGGTCTTTTTGTTATGACTGAGTTTTGTTTCACATTTTCTGCCACTGTATCAGAACCTTCTAATGTGATCCCTGTCAGAGCAGTTCATAGTAGTAGCTGGGCACTGTCTAATTCTTCTGGTCTCAGAGTTATGGATATTTATGTTCATGTACTCCATTCATCCACTATATTAATGGTTTCCAAGCGTCTTCAGTTTTTACCACTCTTTCTTTTCCTCTAGTAGTTGCATCTTAGATGGCCGCTCACGAGCTTTTTAAGATCCCAGTCACTACTTACAAAAGTAGTATGTACAATGTAGTCTTTGGGGCCTGTATTATGCCAATTGACCATGGTCTTTCAACATTATATGGTCCTGAGCCCCCAGGATTAGCAAATCATTCCCTCAAGTTTGGTAATGTCTAAGAACTTTTCATAATGTGCCCCCTATAAACTGTACCACAGTCATGAATATGTTTGTAGCAAGGTTAAATACCCATGTACAGATATTTTCTGTAAAACTTACATGTTTATAAATATACTCACACCCTTTCTCCCACACCTATTCAGCCTATGTATCTATCCATGTATTACCCATAGGTGGTGGTGGTGGTAATGTGCCGTGAAGTTGGTTCTGACTCATAGTGACTCTGTACAGGGTTTCCGAGGCTGTAAATCTTTACAGGAGTACAATGCCTCATCTTCCTCTTGCGGAACAGCTGGTAGTTTCGAACTGCCAACCTTGAGGTTAGCAGCCCAATTCGTAACCACAGCGCTACCAGAGCTCCTTTATTATTACAGGATTATGTGCATAACACTTAGGAGCTCTGGTAGTATATTGGTTATGAGTTGGGCTGCTGATCTCAAGGTCAGTAGTTCTAAACTACAAGCAGTTCTGCAGGAAAGAGATGAGTTTTCTGCTCCTGTAAAGATTTACAGCCTCAAAAACCCTATACAGAGTCTCTATGAGTGGGAACCGTCTCCACGGCACACCACCACCACCACCATGTAGTTAACATTATCTACCTCTGTTCTCTTTAACGCTTGTACTCCTCCCCATGTCTCCCCCTGCCTTCATCATTCTTCTGCCAATCTGCCTCATGTATATTGCCTTCACATCACTCAAGTTAACACATTTCATGGACTTTAAAAATTTCCCTTCTCCATAAATGTGTGAGTGGACCTAATTTCACCTGAAACATTAGGCGAAAACTGGACTGAATGACTAAATGAAGACTGGAAGAAGAAAAAGTCATTGGATAAAAAGAAAACTAGTAATATGTGCCCATTATGGTGAATTTAGAATATACAGGAAAAATTATAAAGTAAATTAATCACCTGTTATCCTTCTACCCAGATATAATTGCATCTACCATTTAATATATGTTCTTTCATTCATTTTTATTTCTTGCTATACTTTATAAGGAGCTCTGGTAGCGTAGTGGTTACAAATCGGGCTGCGAGCCACGAGGTCAGCAGTTCGAAACACCAGTGGTTCCACAGGAGAACGATGAGGCAGTCTGCTCCCGTAAAGATTTACAGCCTCGGAAACCCTGTGTAGGGTTGCTATGAGTCGGAACCGACTCCACGGCACATAACAACAACAATATTTTATTAGGAGCCCTGGTGTGACATAGGATAAGCACTGGACCACAAAGGTTGGTTTGAACCGCAAGGTTGTCAGTTGAGACTCACCAGCCGCTCCTCAGAAACCCTTTACAGGGTCACTATGAGTCAGAACAGACTCAATGGCACTTAAAAACAGCAGCAATTCTTTTATTAAGAGTCCTGGTTTGTCGATATAGTGTAAACACTGAATTGCTTACCTAAGGTCGGCAGTTCAAGGCCACTAGCCACTCCTTGGAAACCCTATACAGGGCTGCTATGAGTCAGAACCGATTTGATTGTACTTAACAACAAATTCTTTATTAGCTTCATGATTTTATTCCTTTTTAGTATTAATATCATAGCCTACCTGGCATTTATGATAATGTTCCAGAACACTTTTTTTTCATGAATAATATACTGTTGCATATTATGATTTATTAAAGTATTCCCTTAA